ACACAGATGGAGGGTAAACTGAATCTACAGTTTCCCAAAACAGTCTTTGAAGCAGTAAAATAAATGAGAAAGGATTTGTTACAGTATTGTCATACACCCTTTGCTTCACAGCTACTCTGTCTGCCAAAGAGAAGATGTTTATTTGCCTTTTGAAACTGAAATGGTAGTGATACAATTTCTGTTGTTATCACTATTGACTTTCGTGTGGAAGAACTTTTTTCTACAGGACTGTATCTACTTTTTTTTTTTCTCAAAATTAAATTATATGCAGGAATAAGATCTCTGCAGGGCGTGGTATGTAATAGGTCTTGTCAAACTTGTGACAGAAGCTGAAAGTGCCATCAGGCAGGGAATATGGGAGAGATGTTATCTGGTCTCCTTGCTAAGGCTGTTGAAATCAAGGCTGCTCTGGCAGAGCCCTTCTCTGACTGCCATGGATTTGCCACTCCAGCTATGAAAGGGGATGAGGCACACTGGCCAAGAGGAGTGACCAAGACTCACCTTTGTGGCATTCCCATTATCTGGCCAGAGAGGCATAATTCTGTCCCTCAGGAGAAGCACAGAGAGAAGAGAAAACAATCTTTATATCTCTCCTTTGTTTTCTCCATGTGGAATTTGGCATGGAGATTGTTTACCTGAAGTGATTGCTTGATTGGATTCTGGTGAAGCTTGTTTGGGTTCAATGGCCAATTGGATCCAGCTGTGTCTCCAACTCTCAGCAGGCATTCACGAGTTTGTTAGTTAGTTGATAGGTAAGTAATAAGTATGTATGTAGACTAGGATAGTCTCTCTTTAAATAGTATATTAATGTAATATAGTATAGTTTTAATAAAGCTATCCTTCAGTCTTCTGTGCTGGAGCCAGACATCACCATTTCTTCCCTGCTGGGGTTGCCTTTTTTTACTATACACCTTGACCTCTTTTCCTGTCCTTGAGAAAACCAGTCTTGAGATTCTTAAATCACACACACATGTACTTTGACCAAAATTTCAGTGTATCTCTCCTTCACTGTGAACCACTTCATTTGTGAAAAGGGGATAACAATAAGACTTCACATTACAGGATTATTTATAAATCATAGAATCATAGAATGATTTGGGTAGTAGGGGCCCTTAAAGATCATCTAGTTCCTGCCCTCCTGGCACTAGGCCAGGTTGCTCTGACTCCAGCAAACTTGACCTTGGTCACTGCTAGGGATAGAACATTCACAGCTTTTGGCAACCTGTTTCTGTGCCTCACCACCCTCACAGATAGAATTTCTTCCTAATAACTAATCTAAACCCACAGTCTTTCAATTTGAAGCCATTGCCCTGTGCCTTCTCGCTACATGGCCCGGTAAAATGTCTCTTTCCATCTTTCTTGTAAGCTCCCTGCAGCTACTGGAAGGCCATATTTGGGTCATCAAGAAGCCTTCTCCTGGATGAGCAACCCCAATTCTGTCAGCCTTTTCTCACAGGAGAGCTGCTCCATCCCTCTGATCAACTTGTTGTTCCTCCTCAGGACTCCCTCCAACAGATCCGTATCCTTCTCAGCTGAGGACTCTATAGCTGGATTTAGCACTCCAGGTGGGGTCTCACCAGGGTAGAGGGGCCTTGCCCTCCTGCCCACACTGCTTTGGATGCAGCCCAGGACACATTTGGCTTTCTGGGCTGTGAGTGCACATTACTGGGTCCTGTCAGTGCACATTACTGGGTCCTGTCCAACTTCTCATCCACCAGCACCCCCAAGTCCTTTTCGGCTGGGCTGCTCTGATCTGTTCATCCCCAGCCAGTGCTCATACCAGGACTTTCCCTCAGTGAAGCTGAGCTAATTGTCTCAAATCTTGTCCTGTCCTACATCTGCCTTACCACAGCTCCTAGGAGGATCTGTTCCATGATTTTCCCAGGCACAGAGGTGAGGCTGACCAGTTGTAAGTTCTCAGGAAATTAACTAATGGATTAATTCTCCTTTAGAAGTAAATGAAAGATTATCTATTAAAAGAATGGTTAATTTTAAAAGTAGCTGCTGTTAAAAAAAAAAAAAAAGAAAAAACAAAAAAAACCCACAAAAATAGTTATTCCATTGTTAGAATTGGTAGAGCAGCACTGGAAGAAACTTCAGGATTATACAAAAAATGGCACATAATGTTATAAGAAAATAAAGACAGAAAAGTACACTTCCGTACAATCAAAAAGCATATTGTACTTTTTATACACAAAAAGGTGCCATCTGGAGTGTCCTCTTTCTGACTGCAAAATTTTAAATCAGTCGTTGTATAGAAGAACCCTCTATAGCTTGCCAAAAGTCAATGAAGGAAATTTTTTGTAAGTATAATAAGAATTTAAACATGCAGAAAAGAAAAACATCCATGATGGTACTACTAGTCCAAGACCTGGAGTTTGTGAAGACAATGATCTTAATGGCAAGCTCACAAGCAGCTTCACAGGTAAATCAATCTTACTTCCTCTTGTAATGATAATCCATCGCCACATACCACATCCGAAATTTAACCCATTATCATCAATAGAATACTCTGCATTGACTTCAGAAGACCAGCCTTGAAAGCAGTGTAATAAATTAAAGATTAGCAAAGGGTGTTTTAATGGAAGAAAGCCATCTGCCAACAAGATCTACCAAGACAGAAATCTTTAAAATTGTAGTGTTCCTTCACTGACATTCTGGAACGAGTCGCAGAAATCTTATTCCACAGAGCTATCATTGCCCTGTAATTTAAAAGCAAGTAAAAATCAGCACTTAATCAGATCAGAATGTGTTAGTCAGAAGACATGCACATAAAGACAACAATACATTATAAATCCATTTAGCAGAGAACCCTTCAGGATGATTTGCTCACTTTCAGAGAATACTGTCTTGACAGGAACCTTTAGAATAGCACTTACAGCTCTATTACATGACATGGATTTTCAACTAGAGTCAGCAGAAATATAATTTAAAAGTACTTCAGACTACTTCATTATTGACATGATGCCCTGGCTACAATATTCCCTCAGATAGCCATTGTCATTAGTGGAACTGCTCTGACATCTTTGCTATAATTCTCAAGAACAGTTATCCTCTAATTCAGTAACTTATAGAGCAATGCACCTCTTCTATGAGAGATAGAAAGGAAGAAATAGAAAATCATTCTCTCCTGCTTCAATCATTTTGTTACTTTAGTTAGCCATAGAGATATGCCTTGCTTGGAAAGTTTCTGTGAAGTTGCAAAGTTGGATTTATCTCCACAGACTGTGGGTGGGTGACACCCACTGAATTTATTAACACAGATTCTTCACAGATTCTTCTTCACTCTAATTCCTTGTGTTTCACTCACTGAAAACATCCAATCAGTGTCTAAACAGCAAACATTTCTGACTAGATTTAGAAAATCTGTCTTCTTCTCAACTTCACTCATGTAAAATACACTGTTCAAGAAGGCAAAGAGCTTTTTGTCTATAACAAAATAGGCATTACAATTGAATTAGGTCCTCAATTTGGAATTCAGATAATCAAAACACATATCAGGTGTCTAGGAATATCTGAACAGATGGAAACAAAAAATTGACATTTCAGAATTATACCCTATTTTTTCATGACCATAACTAGTCAAATTTGCTGAAGAAAAAAAAGCAGTGAAGGGGGTAGAAGGCCCTTACACATATAATGCAGGCATCAAAATTGTACCTGGCATATGAACACATGCACAGATGCTTCCTATACTAAATAGTGAAAAATTTAGGGGTTCTAATTTCTCTAATTCCTAACAGGCAATCTCTTCTAGATTTGACAATCTGTTGCATTTTTGCAAATGGAAAGTGAGAATTCTACAGCAAGCATCTCCAGGAGCTTTCAAACATCCTTACTGTCACATAATGGTAAGAGTGAACTTCCTCAGTGCCTTCCTAGTTACTGCACTTATTTGTCAGCCTTGTCCTCAAAGCACAAGTTTATCCTGTGGAAATAAAGGAAATAAAGATGAAAAAAGCAGGGAGAAAGAGTTCCTTCTCCTTTGTAACCAGCACATACAATAAATAATATGATAAATAAGAGTGTTTTGATATGGCTTGGCATGTGCAGCTGTGTTCAATAGAGTGAACCACTGCAGATCACAATTAAAGTAGCTGGCATGTGAAGATCCTAAATATCAGAAAGAAACCAGCAGTCAGCCATAAAAAATGAATAAACACACATAGCCTGAGCTACATCTTAACCAGCAAGACTTTGTATGAACTACAAAGGAATATAGGATATTTTGGGATTTTTTGATTAAAAATTATCCCTCTTCCGAAAGCAATCTTTCAATTTCTACCTAAGTTTGATTAGATAGCATGATGGTATAACTGACACCTTCAGAACTGTGCTAACTGTAGGTCAACTATCCAATGAAAACTATTAATACAGTGAGAAAAGACAATGAAAAAAATAAATGGCTGGTAAAGACCTATTTAAATACAAAATTTACACTAAATCCACTAATTTGCTGATAGAAATCTGTTCTAGAAAGAAGGTTTACCTTTTAGTAAGACCTTCAACACTTTTTTTACCAACCATGATTTGTGCATTCATACATGCGTATTCATCAGCTCTGGAACTAAGTGCAGCACCTTCAGCTCTAAAAGTTCAGTAACTGGAGAATGTTCGGCTGGCAGCAAAGTGGGGTCACAGTGAGCCCACAAACACATGTACAAATGTAAGCCATGCCTCAGTCAGGATGGCCACTGCTAACCCAAGGCCTTTTGTTACTGGCTATATCAATTAAACCCCATCAAACCACGCTGTTGTTAACAGAACTGCTTCAACTCTGATGCTGAAATACCTCCAATATCATCACATTTGCTTTAAATTAAGACTGCCTGTAGTTTAAATGTAGGTATCAGACCTTAAAAAAGAAATTACTGACTAAAATTTGATGGCCAGCTATAAATCAGGTTTTATGATCCTAGCCTTAAAAACTTACCAATTTTTAATAATAATAAAGTTTAATCAAACTCTGTTTCTCTCTTATGGTGCTGCATTAAGACCAATTATCAGGTTCTGCTATGCAAAATACTTCAACACAATCTTACAGAATAACTCCATAAAAGAACATGTCTATGGACAGAAGTAGAAATGTCCTTCATTTTTTAAATTTTGTTCACCTTATAAAATATCTCTCCCAACTTAAGCCTCAGTATTCATAAATCAGTACCTAGAATATTGTACTATATACATGAAAGTGTAAATGAAAAATAATCTGCTACATGAAATTTCCCAGATGCTTGCAGCTTACTGGGCAATGTATAATGTTAGTTCCTACCTGATGATATCATAGGCAGAGAAAGGGCACTTATTCTCAAGTCATGCAAATCTCTCACGCTGTTCATGGATGTATTAAATAACACAAGGTTTCCAAATATCTCTTATCTGTGAAGTCAAACAATAATGTATTTCTTAAATTAACATAAGAATCACAGATTCAGAGAACTAGCTGAGCTGGAAGGGACCCTCAAGGATCATCAAGTCTTGGCCCTGCCCAGGACCATCCCCAAGACTTACACCAGGTGCCTGAGAGAATTGTCCAAATGCTTCTTGAACTCTGTCAGGTTTGGTTCTGTGACCACTCCCCTGGGGAGCCTGTTCCAGTGCCCAACCACCCTCTGGGTGAAGAACCTTTTTTCTAATGTCCAACCTAACCCTCCCCTGACACCACCCCAGGCCACTCCCTTAGGTCCTGTCACTACTCACCAGAGAGAACAGATCAGTGGCTGTCTTCTTTCCCTCACAAGGGCTGCATTCTGTGTTAGAGCAGAAGAATAAGGCCAAATGTTTTCAATAAGTTTGTAGAAGCTAATGGAAATATCTTTCAACATATTACCCTTTTCTCCACCCATCTTTCTCTAGGCATAGTTGCATCTTAATTATTTGCCTTTGCTGTCCCATCACCAGTTTTCCAAGTCACCTGTAATTCAGCTTTTCCCTCTGATCTGTCTCAAGGTAGACAACCTAGGTTGAAACAGGAAATCAATAAATTCTGGGCTTCTATCAGACTTTCAAATCCACAGTAGTTAGATGAATTTTAATTGGTTAACCACAGAGTGCAGAAGAATCCATTAACATGTGCATAGGCCCTCTGGATACAATGCTTCATCTAATCAGTTTTTTAGCAAACCCAATGATAGCTATGGTGGTAGCCACTGTGTAGTGAAAGAGCATTAACAGCATTTTACATTTATATTTTCCTGCACCGGAGATTTTTTAAATTTAATTTCAATTCTCATTATATAAGATTTGATTGAAAATAACAAACCTAAAAGGAAAGTGATCTCATTTAACTGTAGTGCTCGGTTAGCCTTCATTTTTAAAGGTTGCTTTCACTTCATTTTATATAACTGGTTGGGGGGAAGAGGGCTGGTTAATAACAAATAGTAAGGGGGGGGTTACATTTAAAATCTTACTCAGCAACGTGATACGTCTCACTACAAGAAAGTGCAAACAGTGGATGAATTATGGGCTTCATTTATCTTTCTCTTTTTATCAGCTGTGTGCTACATTAAGAAACTCACTTACTCTGAGTGCTGCTGGCTCAAGTCCTTTTGGAGTTGGCATGTGGTACATTGCAGTGACTGATCATTGTGTACTGCTGCAGCACCATGACAGGGGGAGGAATAGCAAATGAATGAATGCCTCTGGGAAGGGAAGGCCAGAATATCCACCGGTTTAAGATTAAATACAATTGTTTTTATCGCTGAAGACTCATGAAATAGAGTCCAAGAGCATAATGACAAGCAGCTTGGTCATTAGAGATCACACAGTATTGTCATTTAAAAAAAAAAAAAAAAAAAAAAAGACATAAATCTCAACATCCATGCAAAGTGGGTAAAATTATCTTAATTCTGAAGACAATTTAAGACATAGAGGTTAAACAAATCAAGTAAGGTGATGTAGCAAGTCACTGGCAGAGCCAAGAATACAACACCAGATTCCTTACTCTACCCCTAGTGCTCTTATCTCTGGGACACAGGCCTAAAATAATAAGAGGCTCCAACCTGATAGAAATTAAAACATACCATAAGTTCTACTTGCAAGCAGGGTTTGGAATGTGCATTTCAGTGCAAGAAAAGGTGGTTCACATCAACCCCTCCTCCTGCTCCACAGCTATCGCAGAGGTCATGACCACTTATTTCCTCTCCTCTCATTCCTCAGCCTGGTAATAATCTCTTTAGGGATAATTACATATGGCTGTGCTATACATTTCAAAATGTGGAAAACTCATGTTTTTTTCACTGTGCAGTGAAAAAATTGTATAGTCAAACAACAAAGATGTTTTCTTCAAGTAAACTCTACTACTGTTATACAGCCAACTAATATCACACAGTCTTCCTATCTCATAAGGCAGAAGAACCACATAGAAAAAATTAGTACTAGTAATATATTAGTGAAAGGGGAGAAGAAGCAGCAGCAAATGGATTGAAAAGCCTACACCCCTCACCCTTTGTGAGAAGTGAGATGAAAAAATATGAGCAATAATGGATAGCTGAACAGATATTATCTTCATTGAAATATGACATTTCCTCAGGTGAATGGCTTTACTGGCTAATCAAGATTGGCACTTTGCCCTCAACAGTAGCCATTCCTGAGTGTTCAATTTATTAGCAAAAGAAAAGAAGCTGTAATACACGGAGCCATTGAGAATTCTCACTGGCATGTGATGATCGTTTATCTCTCTGAGTCAAGAGAGGAGTGCAGTCTTGAAAATTTTCCAGCACATTTCATTTTGAAAATACAACCCTCCAAACTAATTTTAAGTCCAAGTTCAGATTAAAGCCATCAACAGACTCAGAATTTGATATAAACAGGAGATTTTAATGTAAACAAAGCATAAAAATCTAAACAGGGCAGATGAAGATAAAATCATGGAAGGTCTTGGTCCTCAACTAGTAACCCAGAAAGAAGAAATGTACCATATATGTACCATATAGCCACAGTATGAGTTTTCCAGGAGAATCCTCCAAAATAATTTTATTTCCAATCAGCCTCAGTTCTTCTTGACAGCATAGATGAGAGACAGGCAAAGACAACTTGTTGTTGGACAAGACATCCATGAGCCAGAAGTGTGCCCCTGTGGCCAAGAGCCCAGTGGTATCCTGAGATACATTGGAAAAGTGTGGCTGGGTAAGGGAAGTGATTCTGCCCCTCTACTCTGCTTTGGTGAAGCCACATCTGCAGTGCTGTGTCCAGTTCTGGGCTCCTCAGTACAAGACAAGGAACCACAGGAGAAGGTCCAGCAGAATGGCACAAACAGGATTAAGGGACTGGAGTTTCTCACTTATGAGGAGTGGCTGGGAGAGCTGGGCCTGTTTAGACTGAGAGATGACTGAGAAGGGATCTTAGGAATGCTTATAAATATCTTAAAGGGAGATGTCCAGAAGACAGGGTCAGACTCCTTTCAGTGAGGCCCAGTGGCAGGACAAGGAGCGATGGGCACAAACAGGGGTACAGGAAGTCCTATCTAATCATGAAGAAAAACATCTTCAGTGTTTGGGTGACTGAGCACCGGGACAGGTAGCCCAGAGAGGCTGTGGAGTCTCCTTCTACAGACACATTCAAATCCTGTCTGGGCATAATCCTGTGCAATCTGCTATAGATGAACCTGCTTTAGCATGGGGGTTGGAGTGGATGATCTCCAGAGGTCACTTCCAATCATGACCATCCTGTGCTTATGTAAAGGTCAGGCTGTAGGAAATGAAACTCAGAGAAGAAAAACTATTTTAATTAAAAAAAAAAAAAAAGGACCAGAATGGGGAAACTATTCTTAAATGTTTTTTCACACCCAGAAGCAGACTGCTCCCAATGGGCATTTTTCCCCTAAGATTTTTCAAGAGTCTGGATGTGGATTGGAAATCTATGCTGTGGGTTTTCTGATTTTTAACCTGACCAAGGAGTAATTTCAATCGTTTCTTATTTCTTCACATTGCAGAAACCTTCAGTAGCAATGTTTGAAGCAATTTTACCTCCTTAACGATGTCTACACTGTAACAGTATCCCAGGGACAAGCCTATCTCTTCCCACTGACTTATTAAGGGTGGAGAGGAGTGTAGGTCATGTTTCATCAAGACACCTTGTGTAGCATAGCTTTTTTTCATTTGTGTACACAATGAGTCAAGTTTTGAAGCTGTTATATTGGATTTTAAATGCTTTGACAGAATATTACATTTTAAATGGGATTAACCTCTCTCTTCAACCTCCAAAGTCTGAAAAAATTATTACATATATCCTACAATGATATCAACAACAAAGTTAGAATCCACCAGGTGAAAACTTCAGTGCTGGAGCCTTAGGCAATGCACAGCTAGACAGGGAGCAGAGAAGAAAAATAGCCTGCATAATTATGAAATGAATTAATAGACTCAACAAGCAACAAAATTGCCATGCTACCCTAGCAAGATGCAACTCTTGTTGCATCAGAGCAACAACTGCTCTGATGTGCCAGGTATAGCATGGGAAAACCAGAAGAGTAATATTTGTTCAAGAGAAGAAGTCCCAGAAAAGAAATCAGCTTCTTCTCCCAAAAACCTGTGTCAGAAACACAGACTGATGGAAAATTAGTCTTTCCTATGCATCTGATTTTCCTTATGACAGTAGAAGGAAACCATTTGGAGTCAGCTAACATTTAAGATTGGTCAGAAAACAATATTTCTTCTATGTCAAAAAAACAGGTTTTTAAAAGGACTTTTCTTTGTATGCCAAGAGAAGATGTGTGGGTGTAATTCTTTTAAGAGGGGAGAAGGTTTGCATTCTACATTATCTTGTTTTTACTTTTTTGATGGAAAACGGTGTACTTCCGCAGAACACCCAGCTGTCTATAGGATAGGTTAGTACCATGAATTTGTGCAAACTTCAGGGTTTAATTCGATGTCCTACGGATGAAGCTACTGGCTACTTTGTCAAGAATTGGTCGTTCACTGTTCTGTGGTGGTCTGACCCAAAATTCACATCAGAAATTTTCTGGAGAAAAGAAGTTGGTCAAAAGATATATATTTTTATGAACTTTAGTTTTCACTGAGTTAATTTTAAGAAAAGATATTTTGATGAAAACTTCTTGCTCAGTCTTTTCATGAACCAAAATTCTTCATTTTTAATAGCTACAAGATAAACCTCTGCCCTCACCAATACCCATGTTTCTGCCAAGCTATTTCCAGGCAAATCAGAACAAAGCAGGGCAAAGGCTATCACTGCCTTGAAAGTCTGTATGCATGCCTTTATTTCTTCCTGTTGTTGCTGCTAGAGATAAATGATCTCAAGAGCCGTATTTCTTGAAAGCAGGATGAAATTTTCTTCTTGAAAACAACAAAACAGAATAACTTTTAAGGGAAATAAATAAAAACATAACCTCCTTCAGCATCTCCCGATTTCTTCCTTTAAGCTTCCCAAGTTTTGCCTTCCTTTTCCTACTCCTGCCTGAAAAATTGCTGGTTTTCACACTCTTATGCATTTAGCCTCACAAAAAGATTGTGTTTATCTCAGTTTTAAAAATGGCTAGCAGGCTAGCAGGAGAAAAAAAAAAAACCACAAACAAAACAAACAAACAAACAAACTGCAACATAAAGCTATAATTTCTGAAATATCCAAGCAACACAACATTTTTCATAGCTAGGTTGGTTAGCAACCTCTCTCCCCAGCAAACCCATGTCCACAGGCACAAACTCACACTTGCTGCATTGCCTCTCCACTGGTTGTCTCTGAAGATGAAAAAGCATCTGAGCCCACAGACCTGACTGTCATCCCCACCTTCCTTCAGGGAGGAAGCACAAAAGGAGGGAGGACCTTATGTGTCTGTGCAGGGATGAAAAGAGCTGGGAACAGCCCAGTGACCCTGGATCAACAGACTGCACCATGGCAGGACTCCTTAAGCACAGGTACATTTGTCACACCTGCCTGCCTGCCATTGCCAGGGTACTGAGACCTGTCACTTCAAATCTATCAAAATGTTTTTCAGGTCTGTAAACAAGTTATTCTACAGCAGCTTTGGTTCTTGTCTTAAGGGTCAGGCTCTTGGGTGGGTTAGTCAGATGTGAGGCATCAACATACTGCAACAGACAACTTAGGAGTCTGTTTGCAAACTACTCTTCCAGCCAAGAATGTCTCACTTTTTTTTTTCCTAGCACTTAGAAAATAAAATATCTTGCAACTACTGAGATAATGGAGTTAGTCCACGAGCTAAAAGTGGTAGGAATCAAGCCATACATATGATCTACAAAACAGTTACGTAGCTTTTCTAGAAATAAGACAACATCAAACATTAACTGGGTCAACAAAGGTAGTGGAAAATCAATACAATTATTTCACACTGTTTCAGGAACCTTTTGTCAGAAATTCATCTGATAAGGTTCACATTCCTGTTGGCAGACTACCACAATAGGTGTTATATATTCAAACCAGTGTCTGTGAAAAAAAAAAATATTAATTTCCAAATCTTTTAAATTGCAAAACTGAATGTGTTTCATGTTCAGGCTTCACAGTAGTGCCCTCTGTGAGGAGTGTAGCATTAGCTGATAAAATGCTAGGCTTTGAAAATATCTGAAGTTGATAGAAATAGGGATGAAAGAAAATTTTCTCATGAAAGAGAAAGGTCATCAAATTGCAAGAAAAAAGATGGTATTATAGTGTCATGACTAACTGTCCACTTTTATGATTCAGTTCCAGTATGGGAATAGAACTACAAGTGAAGAGTCCTAAGATAATCATATGTAGGTAATTTTAAATCATGTTTGTACACATGACTTAAAAAATCTTTAAGGCAGCAATCCCTAGGAAAAAAACATTGCAAGTGG